AAAGGCTCTTGATGTGTGCAATGCGATTCGTGATGGGTGAGCAATCAGACAAATGGCAGAACAATTGGAGATTGTTTGTGTGGTCATTGCGACAATCAAAGGAGTTTGGGGAAGGAATCAGGCAACGACGAGTGCAAATAAAATAATACCCATCTTAGTGGGCGGACCTTTTTAACGAACCGCCCAAGTATGGGAGAGTAATCGATTCCATTGGAGCTCTAGTCATGTAAGGTTTGTTCTGAACAAGAACAGTCTGAATTTCCTCGTGCAACAGCAAAACACAGCGAGGAGTTTACGAATCCATGAATTGAGGCAAACCCAATCTGATCAATAGATGATATGATCGTAGAATTTCAGCGAACCTGTCTCTGAAACGACGCGAGCTCCGAACTCTTTGGCTGCGTAGGAGTCATGGATTGTGTTCCATTGAACTGAACTGATCGCGCCGAATACTCAGAATCGAGCGATCCAGATCGTAAGGAGAAGATGCAACCATTCGATAATTCTGTTGCTGGCATTTCTCACATAGACAAGTAAACAGACACCAGCAATAGATTCTGTATATGTATGTAGCGATCATTATTAAAACCAACGAAAAAAACCCAATTTCATTCAAGGAGAGTTGAACATGGAGAGAGTGACATCAATCAAATTAGCTACTTCCAGATATGAAACCCTAGGACAAAAAAACCAAACCAGAACAGATCAACCAATTGGACTCAAAAAAGAATTGGGTGAAAATGGACAACAAACCCAGAGATCAGAAACACCCCAATTGGACTCAAAATGACAAATACCACAATGAATCAAAAATCAAAAACAACCCAAACAGAGAACAGAACAACCCCATATGGACTCAAGAGAAGTGACAAAAACGACACAACAGATTAACCAAAATTGAGAAGAAATCAAAAACCCAGAGAATGCAAATGAGTTGAGCTCCAATACTGTGAAAAATCAACCTCTAGATTTCACGAAAAAACATGGGAATCAAACGGTATCCAAAATTTGGAGGTGAAGAGAGAGAAAGTGGACGGGAGGGGTGTAGGAAGAGCATGGAACCCCTAATAGGAGGGAGAGAGGTCTTATATTGGGGTTGATTTGACCGCGTATTTATGCGGTCGTTGAAATTTCTAAAATAAAAAGTAATTAATTAATAATAAT